AAAGATATCAGATTCACCCAAAGAACCTTGTCTGCCTAGATACTATTGACAAATTTAAATGCTAATTGAACAATAGTTCTCAGAGGCAGACGCTCCTGCAGCTGACTTACTTAAGGAGTTTAGCATGGATATTCTGTATTTCTATAGAGAACAATCTCTTTTCTACGGTCAAATGTCAGTAATTCATGTGATAATTGCCTTTCAGTCACAGCCAGCAAAAGTAAATATACATGAAAAATAAAAAAGGATAAATCCCCAATATGTTTTACAATGGTGGATTTTCTGTCACAGTGGTAACCATAATTTATAATTATTCATTATGGTAAATGTAATGGGCCTTATTTTCTGTTATTGTAAATAGATGCAGCTCTTTGATTTCAGTGGTGTTTCATCCACACATACCAGCAGAGAACTGGCCTAGTGTGTCAACAGATTTTGTAAAATTACAAATAATTAACTGCCACTGCTATTATTATCAGAAAGTAGAAACACAGAGACCTTTGTTGAACTCTCCCCAGCAAACAGGCTACACATTATGGCTCGTTTCTATTTTCTTACATACATAATCTGTAGTCAAAAATTAAAACAAGAAAGCCTGCATCAGTACTGCCCGCAGAGTCTGTTATATGCAGTTATATTTCTTAGAGCTTGATCTTGAGAGATTCTGGGCTTCATTAGCCCTCGCTTCGGTTACAGGGTTTTCAGGGTCTCAGTAATAGTCAGGAAAAGCCACTTATGGAGCACTTCGTATACACAGAATATGGTGAAGCATCCAACATGACACACATTCAGGAAGCACAGCATACATTAATCTTATCAATATGGATTCCCATACTTCTGAGACAGTACTTCAGATGTTATTGTACTGAGGCTTGAGAGTTACATACACAGAAATAAGTAACTATTGAGAGTACTATGGAAAAGCAAAGGGTTGTTTTTAGGTAGCATATACACTGGGAGATTACTTGCTCTTGCTGCAACAACAGAGGCCCTTGGTAAACTCACCGTCCCCTCAATCCCAAGCAAGTGGAAGCAGAGTTAAAACAGAAGTTAATTTGCAAACTTAATGATTGCTCTTGCAGAAGGGGCATAGAGTTTGAGAAATGGACAGGGGTAAAGGGCTGAAAAAATAATGGAGAAAAGATTACAGACTAAATAGGTTCTTGAGATGTAATAGAGTACTGGAAATTGGGTTGAACCAAGCATGACCTAGCAAAATAAAAGAAAGAGTTTACATAACTAAGAACATGTCATCAGAATACCGTCTGCAAGATGAAAAGCATTTCAATATTTTTCATCGTATATTTATGTATTTGGGCATTAGAAACCAGCTTTGCATCCAATGTTAATGAACATAGATCCATTGACTTCAGTGGACCTATACCCAATTTACTTCAGCTGAGGGTCTGGTCTTATAGTTCCTTGCAATAAACCAGTGAGAGGTTCAAAACTGTGCATTTCATTTCTTGGTGTGAATGTTGGGCCCAGACTAAATGCAGGTAGAATTAGAAATAGGGGAAAAAGCCAGGGTACCCTTTAGGCTGTTCAGCTTCACGAAGTTGGCTTACCACAGAATAGAAATAGAGCATTTCATTCCATTGTCTTGCACTTTGTGAATTCACTTTTCAAAAAGAGTGCCAAAGTGTGTATGGAATCAGAATACACAAGCAGAAAATTATGATAGCATCCATTTCCTACTACTATGCGAAGACAAGGTGGAATCAAGCCATGGATATTGGGTCTGGAGATTTGACCTTGGATTTTTGTTTTGGGGACATTAAAAGAAAATCTGCATATAAGCTACTCACGTAATTTTACTGATGGGTAAACTGTAATCCTCTTTGTTTTAAAAACATTTGTTGGGCAGTATCTAATGTTAATTAAATGTCCTTAAATAATAAATATAATGGATGTCTTTTGTAGGCACAAATAACCATTGAATACCTAGAATTTATTGACAAAAAAGCGCTTTCAAAATGTCTGTAGTTTTAGTTTTAGTTTACCTAAGCATCCAAAATGAAATGTATATCTGACTAAAGGCAACCCCTGTTTAGTGCTCTTAATTCGCTTCTGAAAAAACGAGTGTTAAGTGAAACTAGCGTTAGGTGAAACTGAAAGTTTTTGATCACCCAAGATGGTGACTGTGTTTTTAATGACCCAAGATGGTGAATGTGAGCATTATAACGAAACTCACTGAGCGCTAAGTGGAATCACATGTCACTTTAAAATGAGCCTTATAGCGAAATAGCGCTAAGTGAAACAGCGTTAAGCAGGGGTTGCCTGTATCTAAATAGAGACATTTTCTTGTTCTCTGTCACTGCAATGACTGATGGCCTTGTCACCCTTGCTTTAACTTATAGCATGTTGTAGAGTCTTGTGTACCTTCTAGTTGTGTATGAGTTTGAAGTCACAATTCTGAGGAATTCTTGATTCAAAATTGGTTTGCAAATCAATGGATTAGATTTGATGACTCGGGGAGTCCCTTCCAGTCCCTACATTCCTATGACCTTTGACTTGGACTTGAATTAAATTTAAAGTAAATTATGATAGAGAGTAAACCTAGAGTAATTTTTGTGTTCTTAAATTATAATCTTACCATGAAAAATATTTTTATAATATTTCTTGGAAAATATTGGTAATCTGCAATGTTGCTTCCAAGTTAGATTATATACATTTAAATAATACGCTGTGATAAAAAAATGGCTTTTCTAAAAAAATTATGCAGTAAAATAATCTATATAAAATAGTCCAAATTGTATTAAGAGAGTTGGGATAACGCATCTCTCATAAAGAATTGCTAAAGCAATGTTCAAGCATGTGTCATGCAGATACTAGATGAATTTCTTTTGTACATCTCTGCCCATGAAATTCAGATCCCTACTTTTTTAACTTTGAACTTCCACCAACTCAGAACCTACCATTTGGCAACGAAGCATGGTTAGGGCTGGACTTAGCTATTCTTTCCTTGTGGAATCTCACTGCAGGAATTAGACATTTTTTTCCATAGAGAAGAAAGCAATTCCATGATTATTACTCCAGAATTGGAAAGAGGTCTAAGTTTTGGGAACTCTTATCAAGTAAAGAAAATCAATAATCCATTTTTTCATAGATTTCATAGACATTAGGTCTGGAAGGGACCTCGCAAGATCATCAGGTCCAGGGGCAGGAAGTCAGCTGGAGTCAGATCACCCCAGCAAGTTAAGCAACCAGGCATTTCTTAAAGGTATTCAGAATAGGTGCTTGCACTACTTCTGGGGGGGAAGTCTATTCCAGACTCTGGAGACTTGGACGGTAAAGAAGTTTTTCCTTATGTCCAGTCTAAAACCATCTTTCAGCAGTTTGTGACCATTAGACCTTGTCATCCTGTGGGGTGCTCTGGTGAACAGGCATTCCCCCAGCTCCTGATGCACACCCCTTATATACTTATAGGCTGCCACCAAGTCACCCCTGATCCTGTGCTTCTCCAGGCTGAAGAGTCCCACGGCTCTCAGTCTCTCCTCATAAGTAAGCACTTTGCTCTCTTGTCCTCTAATCATGCACGTGACTCTTCTCTGGGCTCTCTCAAGCTTCTCTACATCCTTTCTAAAGTGTGGAGCCCAGAATTGGATACAGTACTCCAGTTGCCACCTCACCAAGGCTGAGTAAAGTGGGAGGATGACTTCTTGGGACTTGCTTGGGTCTTTCTGCATGTACACCTCTAAATAAAAGTAGAAAGGTTTTCATAACAACTTACCATTTCACTGTTGCTAGACCCGCTTGGACTTGGGGCTTGGGGTGGAATCCATTGCTCATAATTCACCACCTTGACCATAAGGACAGTACACAAAAAACAGCCAAAACAGCAATGTTAACAGCAATGTTACAAAACAAAAGGCTGAGAGAGATGCAATTTTCCACATTATACTGTATATATATAAAACCAGTGCCTCTCACTTAAACACAGCTTGACATCCAACTGCCTTCTGATTTATCCAAAATGCTTATTTCATCAAGTGTCTCCAAACTTACAACTGTTTCTCCTTTCTGTGAATCACACTTGGAGGGACAGTAGAATATAAGAGCAGATCATGCGTTAGCCCAGTGACAGAGCTGTAAATTACTATGCGCTCAAGTTTAATTCTAGGTCTCCATTCCTTACTCCCTTGGCAATAGCGGGTGGGAATGCCCTACATGGAGAAGCAGATTTTTCATCCTAGCTAAAGAAGGAAAGTCAAAATGGATTCCCACAGAAGGTCTCATTCAAACAGGCAGAACCTTCTGGGTGAGAGTTTGAATGGGGTTAAAAACACAGAGAAAGAGTCAGGGATCTCATAGCTCTCTGAAGCAAGAAAAGAACAGATCATGTGCCTTTGTTGTTTGTCCATAATCTGCTCCTTTGGTCACAATGTCCTCATGACAGGAACATCAGGAGAAAACACTCTCCTGGTGCACTGATGCAGTCCCTGGTGGGTAAGCCTGACAGTGCTTATAGCTTATCAGTGAAAGTAATGAACAGTAGCCCTTTTTTCTTCATGAATATGAATGACACTTTGAAGGCTGAATGCAACCTAAGAATTTACGTGAGAAATGAGGCATGAAACATTTTTGAAAATGTATTAGCCCAAAGACTGTATTACTTCATATTTTATATCCTTCCCAATATGCTACAAAGAGTTTGAGTCATCAAGTGAGCCCTGCCAGAGATGAACAAACAAGAACAAGCATATGAAAATAAATGCAGAGTAAAGCTTCCATGTGATACTCTTGATGGTATGCTATAATTATCATAGTGCCATTCATGCCACTCTCCCTCAAATTGTATTTTCATTGCATTTGTCCCTGTTTTCAGAGATTTACATGTAGCCTTAGGTGAAATAAAGCATCAGGTTGCAGAATGCAGAGAGATTTAAGTTTCAAGGGCATTCAGAGAAGTCCATTTGGCTGTTTTTAAGTTGAAGGAGAAAAAAATATCCCCAAATGTTTGCTTATTTTTTTCACCCTTCCTATGCAATTTGTCTCTAAACAAAAATGGAAGCAGACAACGATCATAATGGTCCAGAAGGTTACAAGGCAATTCTACGAATGTTACCCTGAGCCTGGCACTCTGAGGAAAGCGAGCTTCAGGGGTAGTGAGTGCCAAACACATGTGTTGTTTTAAAAAAGTACCACAGTCCAATTTTTTCAAAACTGGCTTCTCAAAAATCAGAGCCAATAGGTATGAAGCTGCCAACAAAATGCAGAGGTTCCTAGGCCATGCATTTCCCTTTTAACTCAGTTTATGGACTTCTAGACCAGGTCCAAAGCATTTCACACACAACAGGAGTTGCCAAATTAGAGGCAAGCTAATAACTGCTATCTCGCCTTTTGGTAGGGTATTTTAAAGACTTCCAGAAAAACTCCTCGACTGAAGAGTAAAATAAGGCTTGCATCTTTTTTATGATGCCCGAGAAAGAGCTCTTAAAGCTCCATTCAGGAATAAGTCAAAGACTGCTACTGAGGTGTGAGGGACCACTACTGTTAATCCACTTGAATGGTTGGGAGTGATAGGAAAAGGGGAAGTGTGACCTAAATACAGATCCAAAATCTTGCTGCACTCAAGTGGAGGCAGAGGCCAAAGGTATTTCCCGGTATTTGACAATAAGGAGGGAGTTGAATAGAAAAAGAGATCAGTCATCTCAGCAAGGAGAGGAAGGAGCCTTTGCCTTGCCACATACACATACTCTTCTTGGAGAAGGACACTGGGCATATAGATGCACCACAAGCATATTGTCATGACAGAGTTGTGAGGTGAGGCAGGAGAGCCAGGATCAAAGTATTTGATCACCCATTGACCCCTCATCCCCCTTCCTCCCATAGATTCTCTGGCTTCTCCTCACTGTAATGGACTTCCTCCAATCTAGGTAGAGGTGGGTGTGCTCTATCCATTGTCTCATTCCAGATACCCTCAGGGTGACGGGTTTGTACTTTTGAGAGAAACATCCCAAAAGAATTGTTTTGTGGACTGAATTCAGAAAGCCCACACAGGAGCCTTCTTTGGAGCGTAATGTTTTCACTAAGCAAAATATGCTACGGTAAAACAAAGTTTATCAAAGTGTCTGTGCTCAAATTACTGCTTTTAGCAAGTTCTTATGGATATTACTGGCTTTGGGATACAGGCAGTCCTCGATTTACAACGTTTCGAGTTACGTTTCGCACTTACAACATTTATAAATTGACACCCCATTTCAACCTTCTGACGGCAGTTTCGACTTTACAATGCTTGATCTACGCGATGCCAGAACAAGTTCGCTGCGTCGCCCGTCTCCCTGGAGAACATCTGTCCAAACTTCCTTGGACACTTTCTTTAAGAAAGCAGACAAGACTTCAGAAAAACCTGCAGCCAAGACTCCTGAGGAGACTCCAGCCAAGAACCCTTCAAAAAGTCTAGCAAAGTCACCTCGAAGTCCTTCCAAATCAATATGAATGCTATTTACAATATGAATGCTATTTACAATATAAATACATTAATGTAGCTATATTACTCATCTATAATTGATTGAGTACATAATTCTAGGTTATCTTTGGTGAAAGCAGGGCATTGGGCCTTGGTTCAGGAACCAATCCCCCATTTATAACATTGTTTCCTATGGTAAAAATTGGTTCCCAGTAACAACATTTCGACTTAAGATGCGGTTTTCAGGAACCAATTGTGTCGTAAGTCTGAGGACTGCCTGTATTTGGGGTGAGATCCATGTGCTGGTGTAAATTAGCATACTTCAGGTGCATCTCACAAGATGTTTACTGTGGAGTAAAGTAATTAGCTCATCAGTAAATGGCCCTATTAGGCTGCAAGAAACTAAATTAAGTCCACAGCATGGTAGTCCTTGTAAATACAAGTACTTTCCTTCTACAGAGTCCTTTTACTCTGCAGCAGTGCAGGTATAGATTCTGATGCACTCAGTTGGGACACGAGGGTGCTTCAGCGTGGGAGCTGCCTGCTGGCTAGCCCTCCACTGAAGCATCCTCATGCCCCAGCCAGCCCCTCTGCACCACATTGAGCCCGTTCAGAGCAGCCACGGGCTGGCAGGCTGACCCCCTGGATCAATGTTCTCTCTAAGGAGCAGTGGTCTATGAGTGCGCCGCCTTGGTCCGTAAGCGCACAGCCTCGGTCCATGAGTGCGCCACCTCGGTCCGGCGTGGGACACTTACTGAAGGGGGCTGAGGTCTGGGGGCCGGAGGCTGGGGCCTGGGGCCTGGGGCCAGGGGCTGAAGCCAGGGGCCAGGGGCTGGGGCCCAGGGGCCAGGGACCGGAGCCAGGGGCCAGGGGCCAGAGCTGGAGCTGGGAGCTGGGGGCCAGGGGTTAAAGCCAGGGGCCGGTGGCTGGAGGTTGGGGCCGGGGGCCGGAAGCCAGGGGCTGGGGCCAGGGACCAGGGACTGGAGCCAGAGCCTGGCGCGGGCTCCGCCAGTTCTAGGGAAGTGCTCTGCTCCCCTGCTTCAGGGCTGGGGAGTGGAGCACTTCCCCG